CCAAAGCTTAGGGCATGTTAGGAGGCTGTGAGCATGACCAAACACATTTTTCTAAGCTAAGATCAGGTAATTACAAGTGCTTTAGTGAACCAGTCAGTCAGCCAAGTGGCCCTGACTCCTTCCTGCCTTTTCCAGGACCAGCACTCCCAGTCCAGGCCTCAGTGTCTAGGAGTACTTGGTCTGGTACTACTAGAAAGTACATTCAGTTGGAGTTTTCTTTCTTCCTTCTTTTGCTTTGTCTGGAATGGATTTAAAAGTGGAATTTAGCAAAGAAAGAAAGAAAGAAAGAAAAAACCCTACAATTAGAGAGTGAGTAATGTAGGGTATGTAGAGTTTCACTTTATATTCTTCCCATTATTTTGTTTGCTGCATAATATACACTGTGGTCGACCAATTGGTCTTGGGTAACATTTGCCATTATTTGTGCAATTCATTTCACAAGGAAAGCTCTGAAGATCAGGTCATCTTATGTGTGGCCTGCAAATGTTTGTATATGTTTAATATTTTAATATTTTGATGTTTTCATTTAAGATGAAATCAGTGGCACTTGTCATCTTCAGTTGCAGATACTTAGAAACAGTTTTCTAGTTAGTAATAAATAAGCAAGCATATCAACAGAGCTTGTTTTTCAAATGTCTACGTCTGCAGGAAGCATCAAAGTTGTGAAATGCAAAACACCAGTATTACTATTAGTACTGGCCTTGCCAAAAGTAGAGTAAATATTGTCCCGTTTCAGTCCGTAGCCAGCCCAGTAAATGTTTGACTATATGGGGCAATGAAATTGTAATCCAGTGATGAAAAATAATTTCTGTTTGCCTGTATGCAGTAAATATTCATGAGGGCAGAGGTCAAAAGGAGGGGTGGAGATGACTGTGTGTGAGTGACTAGGGTTGTTTATTAGTCACTCAGGACCAGGAAGAGATGCTTTTCTGAACTGCAGGAAGTGGAAGTGGTGTGAGACTGGTTTATGTTGTGTGTGGAGTACTGTATGAGACCAATTGAACCAAGTGACTTTGAATGTTTACCTCTCTTTTGCGCTTTCTTTTTTGATGATATCATACTTACACAAGGTTAACACCGTCAGTGTTAGTTACGGCAAACAAACAGTTAACAGCAAGGTCATCTTATGTGTGGGACAATCTTTTCCAATGTCTTGGACAGGAAGTGTGAGTATAGTATGTGTACCGTATGAATTTGTCCGTGTGCGTTTGTCTGTATTTGCAGGAATGTAGGCATTTGTACATTTTGGTGAGTTACTTAATTTTGTCGGTGGGAGCTGTACTGTATGTGTGCACTGGTGAGCGTACGACTGTGTGTATGTTTGTGTGTGACAGTAGTTAGTCTGTAATCTTACATTGATCACTATATCTGACTGTGTTCCCGTCTTTTAATTTCTGTCATTTTAGGCATATGTTACGGTGGCAGATTATTCCAACTATATTGTCTTTTTGTAGAAAGTGAGCTTGAGTGTCAGCGAGACAGTAACAAAAGACGACTGGGAAAGACTGAGACACTGAGAAAGAGAGAGAGGGCCAGCGAGTGCTACAGTGACTGTGGAAATTCCCAGTGACTACACAAGAACAGCCGATTTGAACAAACAGCCAAACAGCCGCATACTCCCACCGCTTTCCTCCCACCTTTTTCTTTCTCACTCACTCTTACTCATGTCGTAGGCTGACCTCATCCAGGCCATGGCCAGCCCTTTTCCTCCTGATGGAAGTCGCATATAATACTCTGTTGCTCTTGTTGTTGTGATCTCAAGTTGAACACAGTGCATCAAGTCTATAGTGTATGGCATGAGAAAGCTACGCTGTTGCATGTCGAGTACAGTGGCGAGATCAGGCGACCTGTGGTGTGAGGCTCAGGTGTGTGTGTTCGATGAGGAGAAAGAATTTTTGTCCCTGCAAACATTTGAAAATAAAGAGATACTGACCTCATTAAAGGCAGACGATTATAGTGGAGTACTGTATGAGACAAATTGAACCAAGTGACCTTGAATGTTTACCTCTCTTTTGCACTTTCTTTTTTGATGATATCATACTCACACAAGGTTAACACCGTCAGTTTTAGACACTCTTACCCAGAATTACTTGTGCAATAAATCCGTAGTTCTCAATAATCAAAACCTAGACCGCAGTTTATCCATTATTGAATATTAAACTGTGATATAGTGTTAGGAGCAATACTGAAATTACAAATAAAGCCATCAGATCCTTTAAATTTGTGAAGGAGTCAGTTTAAAAATATTTTTGTCTGGTTTAAAATGGTGGATAATAATGTTGAAATAAAGATTTAATGCTTCTGATATAAAAACCTGCACTTAGACTCGGGTGCCCACAGACGCTTGCATGCACACTGTATTGATGTTGATCAGGCAAACATGGAGGGCGAATGAGAGCATACTACGTCACATACTGAGCCATTGTCATAGCCAGTGCAGTGTAGCACACTTCCAGGTATGATGTCACTTTTATTCTCAGCAATTTTTGATTATAAATATAATAAATGACCACGTGTCTTCTGTCTCTTCCTCTTCCTTCCTAGACTGCAATACAGAGGACAGAAGGAGAGAAACACAGGACAAGAGAAGGTGGAGAAAGACAAAAATAAAAGGAGTGCCTTAGAAGTGAAAAACTAGGAGTGCCACACAACCTGCAGCACTTTTGGAACAGCAAAGAAGAGATGAGACCACTGAAGAAACACAGAGGGCGTTCTCCACCGTTAACTAGAGGCAGAGGGGGGAGAAGGAGAGGGAGCTCTCAGTCCCTTCAAGAAAAAGACCCCAAAAGAGTCAAGAGGGAGACACTCGTCAAAACCACACAGCACACACCCAGCACGCCCTCCACATGCAAACAGACCCCACCCACAGCCACCAACTCTGACAAAGAACCAGTCACAAACAGCAATACCCCCACGAAGGAGGAGTCCGCTGAACCAAGGGAACCTGTGGAATCATTTGAGAAAGATGGAAAGAAACTAGAGGAAAAGACCAAAAATGAGAAGATGTTGGGCACAAATGGAAAAAGTGCTATGTCCACTGATATTGTAGTATTTTCTACCTCTACTCCAGCACCACTGTCCACAGCTACACCACCTCTGGCCGCCCATCACAGCCCCAGCTTAGTCTCAGTCTCTAGCAGGAAAACAGCCACATTTAAAGCTCGCATCCCCAAGAAGAAATATACATATGAGCACTTTGCTCACAGTGCAAGTGCCCTGACTACCATTCCTACCTCCAGCCCTGCACTCACACACAACACTTACTGCAACATTAACAGCAAAATCATTGATAGTGTGAATACGCCCAGTAATAATTTCAAGAGCAGCAACAATATTAGTAATAGCGTTAATAAAAGCATTAATGTTGGCATCAATAGTAGTAACAGTAACACTACAAGTGGTGTTAACAACATGACTAATAGTAGAGCTGGGAGCCACAGTACCTTTGTTAATAGCAGTAATAATAGAAGTAATAATTGCTCAGGTAATCAGCTGTCAGTACTAACTGTAGATAGTAAAGTTACAGAAGCAAACCATTTTGTCTCCACAGAGCATAGGCCCCTCAGGACAGCAGACCCCCAGGAAAAGGAGTCCCAACCAGGTGAAAATGAGTCAGAGGGGGCCCCTAACTCGGTGCGCTCCTCATCCACTGATACAGCTAGTGAGCACTCAGCTGACCTGGAAATGATAGAAACCGCAGGACAAAGCCTCCATCAGAATAACTCCCAGATCTCAGCTGACCTCTATAGTTCACACCCTAAAGATACCAGTTTGTCTGAGGGGCTAGCTGAAGTTCTGGCCAAAGGCTTGAAGAACCAGAGAGTCCTGGCTCGTCAGATAACAAGGATCATGGACAGTGGGGTTGGGGCTCCAGGGGGCAGAGCAGTTAAGGAGAGAGACTTGTGCCCTCTGTCACCTGTGTTCAGACCGGGTGTGGTGCGTAGGGTGAGTGGAGGCGCTGTTGAAGTCCAGCTCCAAGGAGAGCAGGCCCTTGTTAACTACCCTTTCCCTGGTGAAGGCGTGATGACATCGTCATCAGGTGCTGAGAACAGAGTGGAGTTCATTTTGGATGCCCCCCTACCTGGCACAGCACCTGTGGCAGTCGGGACCCGAGTGTGTGTGCCCTTTGGTGGAGAGGAGGGGGTTCCTCTGCTGTACAGAGAGGGGATTATCACTCAAGTGGACCCCCACCCCGGTGTCTCGTTTCCTTACCTGGTGCTCCTCAGTGAAGACAGAGAGACTTTGGGTGATGGACAAGTGGGGGAGGAGAAAGATAAAAGGAAAACTAACGGTCAGGCTGTGTGGGTGTCCCGACAAAACCTGAGACTGCTCAGTCCTCCCTGGGAAGTTCCACATTTGGACGGTGGGAGGGAAAAGGAGAGAGAACGGGAGAGAGAAAGGGAAGAGAGGCAGCAGAAGGAGGAGATGGAAGTAGAGAGGGAAGTGTGCCAGTTGAGTATTGGAATGGGGGTGCTGGGAAGGGGGTTGAGCCATGGTTTTTCACATGAAGGAGGTGCAGGAGGTCATCCCTATGGAAATGTACATCCACCTCCCCTGTCTTCCTTTATGACTTCTGGTGTAGTGACCAGCACAGTTCATGGCTGCAGAGATAACTTCTCTGACAGAGAGAGACACAAACAACCAAACACTCCAGAAGAAGACGCAGAAGTATCTTGTTTTAATATGGGCCTCACTGTTAGTCCCAAGTCAAATTCTGGGACCTCTCAGCACAGAAATATCATCTCCAAGTCCAGTGGCTATCCCTCCTCCTCCCACCTCTCTGTGGTGCGAGGTCTGGGACCCCCACACATCTCGACTCTCACTAGTCCTCAGCCATCGCCTTCCCCTGCTTTACTGGGGTCTGAAATAAACAACACTACTCCAAACCTTCTTTCATCCAAAACCACTCCCACTCAGACCCCTACTGTCACTTCTGGTGGGGGATCCTCCTCTACCTCCTCTGCTCGCTCTAGGACTCCCCTATCATTGACTCAGCAGAAATACAAGAAGGGTGATGTGGTCTGCACCCCTAATGGTATCCGTAAGAAGTTTAATGGTAAGCAGTGGAGGAGGCTGTGCTCCAGAGAGGGCTGCATGAAGGAGTCTCAGCGTAGAGGATACTGCTCTAGACACTTGTCCATGAGGACCAAAGAGATGGAGGCAGCAGGGGGAGAGAGCTCAGGGACAGTTACCCCCTCTGACCTGAGAGGCAGAGCCAGTAGTGAGTTTGAATGGGACGACACATCAAGAGAGAGCAGTGAGACCAGTAGCAGAGGAGACTCCAGACCCCGCTTAGTCCTACCCTCCCTCCTCCCCCATGAGCTGTCGTCACGCTTTGACTTTGATGAGTGTGAGGCCGCTACTATGCTTGTGTCATTAGGGAGCTCCCATTCTGGCACCCCTCCCTTTTCTCCCATCTCCAACCAGTCGCCATTCTCCCCTACCCCCTCTCCCTCACCCTCCCCGCTGTTCGGCTTCAGGCCGGCAAACTTCTCCCCAATTACAGCCTCCCCAGTCCTGCAACACCGGAGGCACAGGCAGCCCAGTGGTACGGGGGGAGCAGGGGGAGGGGGCAGTAAGGCAACAACCCCAGCTGGAGGAGGAGAAAGAGAGAGACACACTTCAGGCATCCAGCCCAGCTTCCACAGCAACCTGACCTTTACTGTGTCCATGAGCCCCAGCAAACGAAAGCCAGACGCACCTCCTCCACCACCCCTCCCTGCACACCACCATGATTACACACCCAAGACAGAGCTGGAGCAGGGGGACCTCAATAACTCTTTCAGGGTGCTGTCCCCTCAGACACCGGCTTCACATTCCCACACACACACCCCCACCTTCTCTCGACCCAGGGGAGTGACCACCCCCTCTTCCAGTAGGCCTCCATCCTCCACTGCTGTCTCCCCTCCTCCTCTGCTTATATCTTCAACTCCTCCTTCCCCTCTCACTCCCGACGGGGGGGCTCGTCGTGTGGTCCCTGTGTCCCAAAAGGCCTTACGGGACTCCCCTGTCATTGTGAGGAATCCCGAAGTCCCACTGGCAAAATTCACAGAATGTCCCATGGGAAGAGGAGTAGGAGGAGGAGGTGGAAATGAGGGAGGGACAGATAACACCTCATCTAAAGATGCCAGCCAAACACCCTTTAACCCTCCTCCAATTGCTGGCCTCCAGGTTCCTGTCCCCATTAATGCCGCTGCAGCTACAGTACCCAATGGTGCTGTCCTCTTGCGAAGCCCAGGCCAAACTCTAGTGCTTGTGTCCCCGACGCCCTCCTCCCTGCCCACCACTGACACCCACCTGCAGGCTCTGTCAGTTACCGTCAGCACAACAGTCACAGCTCCCACTCCCAGTAGCACAGACAGCTCTGGAGAACGAGAGCAGAATGGGGGGACAGGGTTTGGGGGTGAAGTCCAGCAGCCAGTTCCCTGTCACCCCTCTCCCACCGCACTGCTGCCCCTGATCCTGCCAGCGGAAAGTCTTCACCCCGTCCCACGAAAGGACATCATCATGGGACGTCCTGGCACAGGTGAGAGTTGGTGTATATGTGTGAGTGCAAGGTCAGTGACTTTGAAGTGTAAGGAGAAGCCATGGAGACTAAGTGTCACAATCTGTGAAGTGGACTGCAGTTATTTAAAATGTAACAAAAACACATAAGACAAATTGATAAATAAGCACATTAATTGGTATGAAAATAAAATCAAAACTAACAAGTAATGCATCTTGTCCGTCAGAAAAAATATAAGTCATAATAGATTATTACTCACAAACAATATGTATGTGTAGATAAATATGTGGAAAAAATGCATCATACAGTGTTTTTGTTTCAAAGTGAATAACGACATTTTCATAAAGCAGGCACTTTAAATATCACCCAGGTTGAACTTTAATCCTGTATATACATCAAATTGCAGCGCTGTATTTACAAATGAAAAATAAAGGAACTATTCCTCTATTTATATTTTATTTTTGACCTCGAAGATTGGCACAAAGGGTTTTAACTTTAAGTTTGTTTTTACAATTTAATTACCCAATCCATAGAGTATATTCACAAAATGTAATTGGCATTGCAATTGTCTTAAATTCTATCACGTAGCATTCTGCATTGCAATGACAATGATTTTTTTGCTTAGAGACTTTAGAGAGAAATGCAGTGGTAGTGTAGCTACATCTAGACAAAAGTACTAGAGGTGAGATGGAAGAATAATTATGTTCATTAAGGGTATTTAGTTGAAGATACAGCAAGTTACATAAGTAATAAAATAATGAGAAAAATAGGCAATGTGTGTGTAAATGTAGCTTTATGCGTGTTTCTACTTCATATATATATACACACACACACACACATAAACACACAGCCAGAGAGAGAGGAAAAAGAGTGAGCTGTATTGTTTTAATTTTAAAACAGAATTTTCTTGTTAGGAAAATTAGTAAATAGAATGGACCTTTATTAATGATATGTTTTTTTATATTCAATAAATACCAGACAACCTTTAATATATTGTGTTGTATTTCATTCAGTAAATTCAAGTAAATCTAAAGCAGTCATTCATTCAACAATCATAGCTGTTATTAAACTGTTGTGTAATGTTTTTTAATTTGACATAAAAGCTTGTCTGAGAACAGATGACACCCACGGTGTAATAGAGGGTTAGAGCCACATGAACACGCCACGACCTGTGTGTGTTGATGCCCAGTGAAACGTGCTGTTGTCCCATATGGCTTCGTCTGGTTAACTGTCCACCACGAAATGCTAAAGCTGGTCATGTGACCCATGTAAGTCCGGGAACAGGCACCTATGATTTGTTAGGTCAGGGCTAGGCTTGTTGAAGTCACAGCTGATAACCAGTCTCTAAATTCACTGAAATCATTTCACAAAACTCAGTGAGGTAAGAATAATCTGTGCTGTCCATCTCTTCAAAATGGAGCGTGGTTTATCTGATGATGCTTGAAGTCATGTATCACACAGTATTTAAGAGCCAAACATGGTTATTAGAAAAACCAGTTTTTTGAAGTAATAATTAAATTGTTGTTGGCGTGCGTTATAAATGCAAATGGAAAAGGGACACAGTAGCTGGATGGAAAATTATTTATGCATATTCATACAGTGTGTGTGTGTGTGTGTGTGTGTGTGTGAGAGAGAGAGAGAGAGAGAGAAACTGCAAAAGAGAAAATGTATGCATGGGCATGCATGTGATGAGGTTTTTGTGTTTTCTTTATGGATTCGACTGTACATTATACAGGATTAGTTTTGTCAATAACAGAGAGGGCCTCTTATATTCCAAGTTGTTATAGACAGAAACTGTGTGGCTGAGTGGTAGCAGACATACCTACACTACACAGACAACACAGATAAACTTATAGTAGAAAGGAACGGGGAAGTTCGAGATGAAATAATAAGCATTTTGAAGAAAAAGAAAATAGAGTGAATGAAGTGTAGCTGCTCCCTGCTTTGAATCAGTGCGACACAAGAAATTAACAGTTAAAGACAAAATCAAAAGTGGGCACGGAATGTGTGGGCTAGCTATACAGTATGTAGACCAGTTTCAGACTTTTTCCACTAACTTGTTTTTGGTTTTGTATTTTAGAGAGAAAAAATACTGATAAGATCAGATGGAGAATGAGGAATGTCTCAGAGAGGCCAACTGTGTGGGTAAAAAAGGGCAGAAGGAGGCAAAGAGGAGCATTCAGATGCATGTTTTCTGGAAAGCTTTCACTTGTTTATTTCTTGGAAAGGGGTGTGTGTGTGTGTGTGTGTGTGTGTGTGTGTGAGACCCTAGCAACTATTTCCCTGACTCTTGCTGTGTGTATGTTCATCTGTTGTCTGTGATGTTCATTATTGACACATGAAACTATAGTTAAATAAGGTGTGGGCAGCCTTCTTGGTTAGTAAAACTATAGTGGGCTTGTTCTAAATGTGTTTGTCCATATAGTATATACATGCATGTCCTAAGATGTATTGTATTGTGTGGTGTGTGAACATTTGTTTCTCATGCTGCGGTGTGTGTGTGTGAGCATTATTCATCACCAGATGAAAATAAGAGCTTACTTCTCATCTATGTTATATGGACACATAGCATCAGTTAGTGTAATTCACATCACCAGGGTCTTTGCCCTCGGTGTGTGTACTTATAGCTATGTGGATGTTCAAGAGTGTGACAGAGAAGTGGACAAGA